CCCCCCACTTCCCCCCCCCGCCCCCCCCCCGCCCAATAATTTTTCTTTTTTTTCACAAGAGAAGGAAAATGATTTAGTGCCCAACCACAAGGCTGGAGTGGGGACACCTGGGTTCGGTTCCCCCCAGGCCACAACACTGATTTTCTAGGTGACCTTGGGAGGGTTAGTGTCCTTCGGATTGGTGAGTTTGGTGAGATATGAGAGGTGAAATCATGCCCTCCGCGCAAGAGGAGGCAAAGCACTCAAACACATATACCCACACGCTCCTCACAATAAATAGACGGATCTTTCTAAGGGGGAAACGTCGCAAAGAGGCAGAATGTTATTATTAGAGGACACAATACAGACATCAGCTTTTCTCTGCCTCTTTCTAATGCTGCCAGACAGTCTGACAACTCCCACTCAGGAACAAGGAAACTCCCTGAGTTTGGAATATTTTAAGGCCATTTTGAAAGTCACGCTGGCATATTGTTGCAGTGTGCTTCAGTGACATATTAAAATCAATCTCTCCCTTTCTGCCTCTCTCCATCTCCTAATTGTCACAGCTGCAGACAGCCCCAGACAGCAGTGGTTCAGTTCACTACATAACTGGATATAATTTAATGGAGTTAATTGGTCCCTGAAGCTGCCTGTAGAAGCCTTTTATATTGTAGCTCAACAAGAGATAGTACCAAAAATGTACAAATAGGATAAGCAAGAAAGCGCCTTCAAATTGGAGTTGTTGCGCATCTAATAAAATGTAATGAAAAATTAATTTGTTATTAAATAGACCTTGATTACTCTGTTTTGTCATTTTGGCTTTCTGAGAGTCTGTTTTCATAATAGCACAGAGGTAAATCAAACTGAAATGGAATGCATGATTTTGTCAAACAGTTACATTTTTATTTGATTACATTTTAAAAGATTTAGTAAGATACTTTAAAATGATGCAATAGTGAAATGAAACCTTTATCATCTTTATATGATTTAGACAAATTTCTAGGTTATACAATTTGAAAAAACAAATGTAAGTTCATATGAGAATATTTTGGATGTGCCAGGAGGCAAATCACGTTCTTTTTAAAAAAGTAACAGTTAACCCATGTGAAATCCTATAGCTGAGCTTCTGCTGTATGGTGGGCCCTGTTGGGGTTAATGTCAATCTGAAGGTCGGGGTGGTCCATTGCCTAGCTAGGGGATCTAAAAATAGTTCTTTATACTGTTTCAGTGTGGGACTCTTGAATGCATTTGATAAGAGAACCAAGTGCGCCAACCTGTGTTAAGAACCTAGGAGGACTAGGAATGATGGTTTACAGGAGTGACGGAGGGAAGAGAACAAGTTAAGAAAAATCTCAGGAGTTCTAGGCCTTAGTTGATAAAAGAAATTACCAAACTCAGACTGTTCCACTTTTTTCTGGATGATGAAAATTCAGTCTGTTGTACAGAGCGCAGAAGCACACCCACGATTATGTAGACACTTGATTTATGACTGCGGTGGTATTGCAGAGCAGTGGAGAAAGAATGAGCTTTTCAATAAATGATTCTGGGTCAATTGGCTATCCATATGGAAAAAATGAAATTGGAGCCCTGCTTCCCAAAAGGGGAAGAAAGAATTTCAAATGAATCAAAGACCTAGATGTAAAAAAACAAAACTATACAGCTGTTAGGAGATAATATAGGAAATATCTTGATAGCATTGAAGTAGGGA